CCCCTGCCTACTCACCAGGCCCCCGGTCCCCTCCCCCTTCCCAATTGCACCCGCCTCCCTCTTTTGATATTGTTATTAATTTCAGTACCGGAAAACGAAGTTCACACCACTGTTAGTTCATAATACACCGGTCAATTACACTAGTGTACTAAGTTCACACCACTGTTAGTTCATAATACACCGGTCAATTACACTGTAGTGTATTAAGTTCATACCACTGCTAGTTAATAATACACCGGTCAATTACACTGTAGTGTACTAAGTTCACACCACTGCTAGTGTTTTGGGTTGCGAAATGTCTCGCATCTCTTGAGTACCTTAAATTAATGTTGATGACGAAGCGGTTCACACACACAATGGGGGCTAGCACAAAGGGGGCTATGGACGCCCCGGGGAGGCACTCGATTGAGGCTGACTTCTAGTTTTATACACGAATAGTTGACATCTTCCGTTTCTTGGTTGGCCGTTTATTCAGAGGACATGGAGTGGTTGCCTTAAAAAACTGAGCTTTCGTTCCAGAATTACATTTTGATGACACTGAGGTTTGTCCAAGGCATATTGAAGTGTTGGATGGTCCATACTGGGCTAATGTCGGATTTGTATTCATTCCATTGCATGTCCCCCGTTATTAACAGAAGTGATTTTCAACGAGGTCTGAATTCATAAAGGCAGGTGTAATGCTGTTTTCTGTTCCCAGTACCGACTGGCATAGGAGGAGAAATCCTGTAATGCTCGAGTTAAGGTCATCTCTTGTTTCAAATGGTAATAAATTCTTTTTTTCGGTGTGTAATTGATCACTTTTTACATTTTCTTCCCATGTGTTAAAGAAATGAAGTACCTTTTTCAGTTGCTGAAGCCTCTCATCTGCCATGTCCACAATTGGTCTTCTGTCCAAGAATATTCCGACGAGAATGGATGTGTGCTCCAATAGCTCCACTGTTGAGGCCAGGCATTCAGGGTTATCCAGGGTTGTCTGATATGACTTCATCAGATACAACATATCACTATCCAACACCTGCTCTGCAAGCTTGTTCCTCATCTTTGATGCACTTGTTAGTTCAATGTGCTCTTTTTTAAGTTTACAGTGAATGCGAAAACCACGTTGCATGTTAAATGCAAAGGCCTCTTCAAAATGTTCCCAAATGATAGGCTTTTCATGCATCACTAAGTAGCGTCCTGCAGATGTTTTATTTTGTTTTTTGCTAGCTTCAATGTTGTTCCTGATTTTCTTAATCTCATGTTTGACATCCTGGATTATTTGAACCTTTTGGTCACAGTCGAAGATGTTCTTGGCGGTGAATTGTTCCCCTCCTGGGTCATTGTTGAGCAGAATGTTAGTTAAAGAGCGATTTGTTGATGCGCCATCGAACATAAGGTAGTCCACTTTGAATCCATGCTCATCCAGTGCATCCACACATTCCCAAAAGTTAACATATAACTGTTGAGCAGTGGCAGGCTTGGATCCATAATATGCAACAGGCCATCGGAATACCCTAAAGCCGTGAAATACAAATTGAAGGCAGTGAGTGGCCAAGTCTACTTTCTTGGTTCCATTTGTAATGATGGATATGTTGTTGTTGGTTTTCCCAATATCAACTCCCCCTACTATATCCCAGGCATCACCTTTTCTGACTATTTGAAGTTCATCCTGAAACGACATTTCGTCTAGAAGCAACCCTCATCTTCTTCCAAATGCAGTAACATTTTGATGTGCGGCCTCCTTAATCATCCATGTCATATTTTCTGTGTTGATCCCGGGTTTTTGGTTTACACAATTTTTGTACATTTCCAGCAGTCATGTAGATGGTATAATTACCATTTTAGAGTTCTGCAGGTCAAGACATGCTGCAGGAGATCTCACATAAACGGAAAGACACATGCTGATGATTTCTGCGTCCCACCTCCTCTGACGTGGTTCCAGACCCTCTTTGGCATTTTTTAGTTGGGCTTTTAAAAAGATCTGGAATTTTTCAGGTGCTCCATTTGCAAGTAGTTCATCTACACATTTTAATACTGGCTCCTCTGTATGGTTTGGTGGAGTTGGTATGTTCTCTTTTCCATCTTGGAGTGTTTGTTCTATTTCCGAAAATTGTGGTGTTACTGTGTCTTTCACGTTGTTTAATTTAGTTGCTTTTCTCTTATAATGAAGTGCACATCGACTGCATGTATCAGCCTTTGAATGGAATGACAACACAGTGGCACAGTTTCTTCCTCTGACCCGAAGCTCGCATATGTTTTTATCCAAAGTCAAACCCCAACGCTCTTTACTTCCAGCTACATGTATATGATTGCTATCCTCAACCAACTTTCCTCTGCATATTTTAATGTTTTCCAAAAACATAACCATACCATCAACAGTATTTTGATTGAATGGCAAACACATGTTTAGTTTTAGACTCACTCCATGAATGGTTAGTTTTGTGAAGACATGTCCAAAAGTAACACTGCATATAACTTGTTCAGTATTAATACTATATTCCCGTTCGCACAGGATTTCATGTTCATGTTCAGAGGTTATCAGATGGGTACAATGTTCTGGTACATGTATGTCGTCTCGATTGTTCTGGGTTTTATTCCGCTGAACTAGACCCCTATATCCACTAAGCCGCTCACCCATATTGTAAATCATACACCGCTGTACATTGAATATGTTGGTTATCTGCTTACTGATAAGGTCCTTGTTTGGCGGCAGGATTTGGCAACCCTCGAAATGTTCCACACAATTTGAATAAATATCATCAAGGCGAGTGTTTTCACCGCCAGTTGAACAAACATAGTTGGCGGCCAACCTGAAATAACGTGGAAATTCATTAAGTGATGTATGTTGAATTTAATTAGAATTTACAATTGATCCCAGGTGCCATTGTAAAGTATGAGACCAAAAGTTGGGGGAACACGGTCCGGTAGGCCTATTGCAGGGCTATAGATTACATTAGTAGAAAAATTAATTTGTGTTTTCATTAAAAAAACATTCCACATGAGTGGGCGTAACGGTATTAACAGGCATTATCATATACATACGGTATATATCTAGTTATCTACCTGGTACCTACATAGCATTCACCACACCCTCCACCTCCAATTTCAAAGTAAAAACTATTTTTTTGTTACTTTTTTTTTGTTTTTTTTGTGGTCATTGGTATTGATTACGTCCCAAATTATTGATTTGTTTGGAATCTCAGGTTTTAAAAACTTAAATACAAACTCATAAAGGGTCAAATAATGTGAACTAAGTCGAGATTGTGTGTTAAATAGGTGTGTTACATGAAAACAAAACATA